GTAGAGACAGAGTTTCACCATGTTGGCCAGGCTGGTACCAAAGTCCTGACCTCAGGTGATCCACCTGCCTTGGCCTCCCCAAGTGCTGGGATTTCAGGTGTCATTCTTTCATTTCAAAATTTTCTCCTTCCATTTCCATCTGTGAGGCCAGTTTCCCCACAAGTGCAGTGAGCTGACGGGAATCAGGTTCCGTAAGTAATCGATGTCTAAGAAGGTTGTCTGGAAAGACAGGTACACCTGTAAAGGACAACTGGCATGCTGTTGGATTTTCCACAGATAATTACATTACCCAGACTTGTAAAATGTCAAACATAAAATAATAAACAGGGCTCTGGATTTGGTTGTTCTTTCTAATCAAATAGAGCCATCTATGGAGCAAATCTTTATTTCACTGGTTTCTGTCAGAATGATGCCCTTTCGTCAGCAGCTCTCTATTAACGAAATACTGCAGAGGCAAGCATTTTCCCCTCTCCACAGTATTAATTAAATTACATAAAACTGGCAGTGTTTAAATTCTGGCATCTGTATTGTCTCACTTAATTACACCCCTGGACTCCTTTAAAAATTCTTTCATTTGCTACAGGGACATCTATTGGTGAAAGGAGAAGAAATCAGGTGCAAGTGATCAAATGTAATTTGGGGTTTGCAGCTGGCCCCATCCCCTACCTTGTTGAACTGATTCTTGCAGTCTGTCTGTCTGCAGCCCTTCCACCCCATGCAAAGTGGCTATAATTCGATAGCAGAGGGAAACAAACACAGTGACAAAGTTTCATTTCGAATTAAGGAAATTTTATCATTTGGCCTCATAAGTAAAATACTTTTCTATACTCTTTCAACTTTTTTTCAAATCCACTCAAGAATATCCTAAAGTGAAATACATTTTTCCCTGCCTAATCTCAGCAACGCACTTAATGTCATTTAAGGAGCTTCCGTAGAGCTTCAGCTCATGAGAACCATCCATAAGCTCACAGTGAATGCCATGCCTCGGAGGAAGTGTCTGAAGGCCAAGCTCAGCAGAGGCCGGTCCTGCCTTCTCAGAGCATGAGCAGGGCGAACAGGACATTTGCAAGGCAGAAGAGCCAAGCACCCAGCTCCAGCTGTCCAGTTAAAAACTGTTGCCAGAATAAAGATTAAGGACCTCCACAATATATATATGTGTGTATATATTTGCCAGTTCTTTCTCTTTTTTTAAAGTGTCCAAAATCAAATTAATTTATTCTCCAGATCTATTTATCTCATTCATGTTAATTACTTTTTTTTGTCTTAGTGAATGACTGTCATTCAAGACAGAACTTGGGGTCATCTTTGATTTTTCTTTCCCCCTACATGCAGCACCCAGATATCAGCCTCCACCCCCTCCTCATCCTCACTGCCCCTGCCTCAGTGTGGACAATCGCTGACCTGCAGCTGGGCTCCTGTGCATTCTCTAGATCCTTGGAACTCTTGGCCCTTTTCCACATCCTGAACTTGCCACTAGTTATCCTTGCAAATGTGAATCTTGTGTGGTTACTGCTCGATGCCTCTAAATTGCCTACACAATCAAATCCAAACTGTTTAGCATAGAAATTGAGACCCGCTATGATCCGGACCTCGATTCCCTCATCAACCTCATTTCTCTCTCTATTAAATTGTTCACTGTTGTTTAACCACCAAATAGGATCTATAGACTGAAGTGTTAAAACAGATACTTAGATTCTACTAAGAAAATATGGTGCAAAATTCATCGAATTTTTACTTTTTGTGGAAGCACTTTGAAGAAAGAGAAAAATCTTATGTTTGATTAAGAAACAGTTTTGCTGGTTATAATGGAACTTGGATTTATTCTTTGAACTAAAATGGATGTATTTAGCAATTCAGAAAATACTGTTATTAATCAAACAGCTAAAAGTTTATCTGTCTTTCTTTCATTGTTCATCAAATATTTAATGAATGCTAGCAATATACCATCCAGTGCAGCAGGCACTGACCGCAGGAAGATAAATGAGCTGCTGTTCCAGCCTTCCATGAGCTCACAGTCTAGGGAAGAAAAAGACAGTCAGAACCATGTGGTAGAATGTGGCTCATCAGAGAAACACAAATACATTTTTAGCTGTTTGATTAATAATGCCATTTTACAAATTTTTAAATGTGTTAATTTTAGTTCAAAAAACATATTGAAGTTCCATTATAACCAGCAATTGTGTTTCTTAATCAAACAGAAGCACCTGGCTTAACCTTGCTTGCATTAATTACATCTCTATATCACAGGTAGTAAAAATCTCAGGTAAATCTCACTAGAGAAAAAAAAAGGTTTATTGTCTTACATGAAGAAAAATTTCGGGGGGGGGGATTGACATTGACATTTAGTTACAGTTTGTTTCAAGTACCCAACTACGTTCTCAATTTCTCTCTCCTTCTCCCAACTACAGTCGTGTCACTGTTGTTTCTCATTCATCGGCCATCCACAGGTAGTGACAAATACTGACACTAGGAACTCTAGGCTTTCATTTAATCAGTTAGTCAACTTTATAGAATCAAACAAATCTTTTCTAGTAATTCGATAAAACGGTCCCAGATGATTGAACGTTCCTGGCCTTGCTTGGGTCACATGTCCATGCTTGATCCAAACATGTAGCTAAAAGAATACAAAGTACTGATTGATCAACATTAGCCTCCTAAGCTCAGGGTCAAGGCATGGGGTAAGCTTCCTCCAAACAATGCAGGCTGAAAGTACAGGAACAGCAGTTCCCCAGGGGAAATTTATCAAAATAAAAAGGAAAAGATGTTGGACAGGGAAGAAACAACATATAGTTATTATTGTGCTTGAACTCAATCTTGAAAGATGAGAAGTTATCCAAGTAGAGTAGTTATGAAGTCATTCTAGGCAAAGGTATCAGATATTTAAAGACAGAGCTATAAGAACACACGGGACCTTCAGGTACCCTTTAGAATTACTTCAATTTGGTAGAATAGGTGTGTATATATGGCAAGCTAGAGATCCAGAGATGTTGACTGAAACTGTAATGAGTCGTGCTGGAAAGGCAGTGGGAAGTACTTGTAAGTCTCAGTAATCTTTTGGGGAAGACTTAACATGCCAGAAATACACACTTTGACATTTCAGTAATAGTATTACTGAAGATTAGGTAAAGCTGCCTTCTGAAGAATTCCAACCCTTGTATCTTTGTCCTTTGTACCCAGTTGTGGTCAAATGGCTGACAATGGGCTTCTGACTTAAAAGCAAGCTGGGATAAAATCTCCCCCTTTAAAGAATCCCCATATAGGTGGGTCATTTGCCAGACCCATCAGATCAGCACTCTAGGGAGAGTTAACTAGTAAGAAGCAGGCAGAGCCCTAGGAGAAGAGGTGGAGAGTGGTTGAATACCCTTAATGACAAGCACTAGAGATGGGGTGACAAGAACACAGCTACTAAAACTGTGGTGTGTCTTGAACCAACATTCCAGTTCCTGCAATAGCATTCTAGCTTCTGTGAGACTGTGCTGTGTGGCTTTGCTGTCTGGCTCTGCTGTGCAGATAGAGCCATTGCTGTTGCTGTCCTTTTCGTGTCTTTAAAATGAACTCATATTCTTATGGTCAACCCAGAGGGCCTCTGTGTCTTGCTGCCCGAAGGAACTCAAACTATTTAAAACCCTGACATGTGCCAATCCATAGACGTCATGATAAACTGAAGGCTTTGGAAAGACTCTGAAGCATGTTATTGTAAAAATTCATATTAAGTTTATGTTTCCCAATTGATTAAACAAAAGAGTACGCCCTAAAATGGGGGAAGGAGGAGTGAATCAATGACTCCATCTCTTCTACGTACATAGGAAAGTTTTTCTACTCTCATTAAAACAGAAACTCTTACTTTCAGTTTTTTCATTTGGTAACAAAGAGTTTTATAACCAAACAGTGCTTCAGAGATCATGGCAGCAAACCCAGGATTTCAGTCTTCTTGATACAGGTGTTACTGTTGTAGTGTCAACAATAGAGTTCAGACATGTCTAAGAAGAAAAATAAATACAGCACCCAATCTGAAAATGCCTATAAATAAAACACGGGTGAGTCACACCTCCAAGAGTCTCAGGATCCTGATTTGTATTGCAAAACAATCTATTTCAGAATATATTTTAAATCTGAAGCTTGCAATATTCTTTTTGTCTTTAGCTATAGAAAGGTTAATAATTCTGCCATGAAATAAGTGAATGAAAAAAATCCTGAAAATTAATTTACATGTTTGTTTTTGCAAATGCATTTTACTAAGAACCACAATAGTGGTGAGTTTAAAAAATTTCATTGTCCTTATATACCTCACCAAATAATTGCTCCTCCAAACATGTAATTTCAATACACACAAGAATCTAATGCATTTTTCTCTTCTTGTTCTATAAAAGAGGCACCTGGAAACGGCACACCAGAGACACAATGGGTGAACTTCACAGACAAATCAACTTTGGGGCAGACTCTGGATCTGCAATTGTGCAGCCTCTCTCCCTGCAGGTTATTATGATGAGGTTGAAACATTTACATTTATATTTGTTATCTGGGAGAGATAATTAGGTATTTTCACTGCAAAATAATTTACATTAATGGGCTGTAACTTTCAATATGTAGTTTTAAACTGCACATTTAAATAATATAATATCTGTCTTCCTTAATTCTAGGTTCATTGTCTTCATGCAGTAGCTTCATTTTTCTTTTCAAAAACACAATAGGCTTAAAAAACATAGGAATGTCTTTATGAGTTTGAAATTCTGGGACAGGTAAAACAGCAAGCTTGTTTGGAATTCTACTGAATTGGTAGTATGCAAAATGAAAGTGGCTTTGAAGTGAAAATGACAGCAGAGCTGCAGCTCTGGCTGAAGATGTAAGTTCTCCTGGGATAAACTTGCCCTCCTGGAGGCATGTGGCATGGGGGAGAAATGTTGGCGTTCGTTGCTTTTTTTTTTTTTTTTTCATTTTTTTTTTATTAAGCACTACATAACATACTGCATGCTACATGCTATACTGTATAATCTTCTAGCAGGGGTAGATGACCATTGCTGAGTTATTTTTTCATCAATCAGGAAAATGCTTCTTTAATCAATGTTCTCCAAACCCTTTGACTTATAGTAAAGATCAACTCCAGAGATGCGCCTATCTCTTTCCATCAAATTCCATGAATGCAAAACATGAGCAACCCTTTTTTCCTTGCCACCATTAGTGAACCTGTGGATGTATGCAGTAGACAGTCCTGGAATAAGCAAGCACACGCCCATGGCGGCGTGTCCAGGGAGTATCTCGAACCACATCTCTGCCCGGTTACCTAGGCCAAAACCCTACTTCTAGGTCCTTGAAAGGTGACGGATATTCGGCTCTCTTCCCAGTATGCCCCGAGACCGCCTCTCTCTGTGTATAATCTAAAGTACTTATCAGATGCTAATTAGACACAAATTTGCCTTACTTAATTATATAACCTAAATTTATTCTCAGTCTATGTCAATAATGACCAGCTATTGGTTAACGACCAGTTTTTTTTGTTTGTTTTTGAGATGGAGTCTTGCTCTGTTGCCCAGTCTGGAGTGCAGTGGCATGATCTCAGCTCGCTGCAAACTTCGCCTCTCAGGTTCAAGTGATTTTTCTGTCTCAGCCTTCTGAGTAGCTGGGACTACAGGTATATGCCACCACATCTGGCTAATTTTTGTATTTTTAGTAGGGATGGGGTTTCACCATGTTGGTCAGGATGGTCTCAATCTCCTGACCTTGTGATCCACCTGCCTCAGCCTCCCAAACTGCTGGGGTTACAGACATGAGCCACTATGCCCAGCCAATGACCAGGTTTTAATAAATTGTTCACCTAATATTTTGCCTGTTCACTCCCTGAGCTGTTCTGTCAGCCATGATCAATGGGCTGAGATGGGTTCATAAGATAGAGAGAGGAATAGCCCTAAAGGAATTCAGTTTAGAATACTTCATATCCACCTAGATTCCATGTATAGATGGGCTTTGCCCTAGCAGATTCTTAGCACCAAGATTTACAATTACAAAATCGATTACCTGTAATGAGGGCTTCTGAAATATAAATGGGATGCTCTCACCGAGGAAACATAGACTTAGGCCGAACAGTTCTTTAATTAGAAATCAGAAGCGAGTGTCCCTATATGCTCAACGGACATTGGTGAAGTTGCATATGATTTAAACTATTTAGTTTATGCCTTCTTTTTACAATAATTTAGGAGGTATTGAAAGATTCCAATTTTTCATGAGTTGAGATAGACGATAAAATATACAAATAGGCAAGGTTCTTCAGTAAACGGCATCAAAATATTTTAGGCTTTTGAGTCAGAAGTTACAACTTTTAGGTAAGCGAATATAGAAAAAGCTAAATTATTTTTTAGAGATTCAGTTCCTTGTTAATAAACGTGCTGTTATTGGTGACACTAATCAAACATTATATGTCACTATGATGTGTGTCTGTGTGTATAAGCACCATGGAAATGCATATATAGAAACACTAAGACTGCAATAATAATAATGATAGTAATAATAGATGATCCGCAAATAAGGTCTTTAGGGGATGTTCGAGATAAAATGCTAATCATTCAATCTTCAACTGCTCCCAGGGCTATATTCTTTGTAGCTTCTTTCCTAATTATGCTTTTTCCTAAGTAATATAAACATTCCCCAGCAAACCTGTTTACGCTACTAATTAGTCACATCTGGAATAAAGTATTTGCAAAGATAAGAGTCAACAAATAGCTCTCTAGATTATGAAGGCCTTTTTGAAATTAGTAGACTCTGAAAAACGTGGTTTGATTCTACAGAGTATTACATTCATTCTATTAATGCTTAATGTGTACCATTTAAAGCAAGAGACCATTTTTCACAGTCTAAAAAGCCTCTAAGTAAAGAATCCACATCTCTAATGGTACTTCTATGGTCTGAATGTTTGCATCCCTCCAAAATTTATATGTTGAAACTTGATCTCCAAGGTGATGGTAATGGAAAATGGGGCCTTTGGGAGGTGATTAGGCAGAGCTCTCATGAATAGGATTAATGCCCTTATAAAAGAGACTTCAGAGAGATAGCTTAGCCCCTTGCACCATGTAAGGATGCAAGAGAAAGGGCCATCTATGAGCCAAGCAGCTGGTCCTCCCCAGACACCAAATCTGTTGGTGCCTTGATTTTGGACTTCCCAGCCTCTAGAACTATAGGAAATAAATTTCTGTTGTTCATAAGCACTCAGCTAATGATAATTTGTTATGGCACCCTGAACAGACCAAGAAAGGTACTTTTATTTTCATTTGTTTTTAAGCACTCAAAAATATTGGCAAAAATCCAACCCACTGACCAGTATCTAGATCTCTGTGTTGCAAGGTTTCTTTTACAGTATGAATAAAGTTGCCTTGAAGGCGATTTTGTTCCCAGACTTTCTGTGGCATTTACATTCTAGATTGAGCTACCATAATTAATTGAACATTATTTATCAGGTGATTGTGACTTTGGGCTATTTTTCCTGCGGGTGGCCCCCGAGCAGCTCTTACTAGGTCGTGATTGGGTAAAGGTGCCACTGAAATTCCTACTCTGCTGAAATTCTGTTCTGGCAACTTTATTTTCACACACATGTGTCTTGTCTGCATGAAACTCACTACCACACATTTGTAGTTCAAACTCTCTTCAATTCGTTTGATACCTTAGAATTACCTTCAGCTTAAAAAACAGTATCTGACATTTCAAATGTAGGAAGCAAATTGAATTGAATTGCACTAGTCACAAAAGTCACCTTCAAAATCCTGTGGTCATGGCTTGTACAGGTTCCTAGATTGGTATGGATTTTAATATATTTAATGTGAGAAGTGTATGCCCTCTTACCTAGCCGTTGCCTCGCCTTCAAATCACATTGACAGCACGTCAGTATCCCAGGTGCTGTTTGAGGCACAAGGGATATACAGGGGCCCTGTTCTTCAGCATTGTGTTTTTGTATGGTGAAATAGACAATAAAAAAGATTTAAAAAATAAAAATAAGACAGTATTAGACAATGAAAAAAATGTAATGAAAATTTGAATAGAATGTATGTGTGAGAGAGAGATTAGTCAGTTTGAAGTTTGGGGTAATTGTGATTGAGAAATAAGGCTTTGAGATAATAATCCAAGCAGAGGATTTCGGGAGGAGGGAAGCCTCAGAGGAACACCTTGGGATCAGAGCTGAGCTGGCTGGGTTCTAGAGACAGGGAGATGCCGGAGGGTCCTTCACGTGAGTAAGGGGAGCTTCAGAGGAAATAAGGTTAGAAAAGTAAGGTCTGCAGACAAGGATAAGAAATTTGGATTTCGTAGAACACAGACCATCAATCAGCTTGTTCTTTTTCTTCCTCCATATTTTCTTCTGTCATTTAATTATTTCAATTTATTTGGTAAAATTATATTTCCTGTTTCAGTATGAAAAACTTGTACTGAATCCAATAGTAAGTAACTGTTTAAAGAGTTGTGAAATGACTAATTTTGGGTAATTAACGTGTAATTAAATTAAATGAATTATTCTTATCTTCAAGGGTTACTGGCCATTGGTAAGCAGAACGGTCATAAAATTTAAAAATATAAATTTGTACAGTTATAATTATGAGAATATGATTGTTAGAAGATGTGGAGAAACTGAGATTTACAGAATAAGGGATTTAAAAACTGAATTCACAAAAGAATACATAAGATATTCAGTATCACTAGGAATCAGGGAAATGAAAATCAAACCACAATGATGTAACACTCTGCACTCTTATTCGCAAAAATTAGATATCTGACTGTAACAACTATTGTTGAGGTTTGCAGTGGAAACTGTCATTCACTGCTTGTAAGAATATAAATTTGAACAAGTACTTTGAAGTTCAAGATGGCATATTTAGTAAAGTTTAAAAAATGCACATCCTCTGATTGAGTCGTTCTGCCTGTACGAATATAAGCATAAACCTAGGGGGACATGAGCAAGAATATTCACAGTCCCTGTTATAACTCAGAAACAATCTAAATAATCACTTCCAGGAGAATGCATAAAAAAAGGTGTATTTGTGCCCTGGAACATGATAGAGAAGTGAAAATAAACGAACTAGCACCACATGTATCAACATAGATACTCTAACAAGCATCACATTCAATTATTAAACATAGTTTTGGAAAAGTACATAGGGAATTGTATTAGTCTGTTCTCTCACTGCTATAAAGAAATACCTGAGACTGGGTAATTTATAAAAAAAAGAGTTTTCATTGGCTCATGGTTCTGCAGGTTGTACAGGAAGCACAGCAGCTTCTGCTTCTGGGAGGTCTCAGGAATGTTCCAATCATGGCAGAAGGTGAAGGGGGAGAGAGGCACTTCCCATGGTGGGAGCAGGAGCAAGAGAGACCAGGGAAGTGCCACATGCTTCTAAGCAATCAGATCTCGTGATCACAAGAACAGCGGCAAAGGGATGGTGTTAAACCAGGAGAAACCGCCCCCATGATTCGGTCACCTCCCAGCAGGTCCCGCCTCCAACGTTGGGGATTACAATTTGACGTGAGATGTGGGTGAGGACACAGATCCAAACCATAGTGTGTAACATACAGAGTCTGCAGGCTTAAAACAGACAAAACATAATATCCATTGCTCAGAGGTGTACATAAGTGGCATAATGCAGGGAAACGATAACAGTTTCTGTTTGTCACAGGAAAGAATAATCAAATGACAATTTCTGTTCAAGCATTAACTTTTGCCAATTTGTCAACAACTCTGTCAAATTAATCTTCTTTGCATATTCATGTTCAGCAGAAAGTAGGCCCCGATCTGTTCATTTGTCTTTATTAATAGCTAATTGAATGATGCTTTTTATTAATTTTAAAATTTCTTTCACTTGAAGTAAAAGATATAGCAAAAATCTTCAAAAATAATATGTTTTGCAGAGATTACATAATAAATTCCGGAAATTAAAATACTATCCATGTCTTTTTTTTCAGGTTTGTTTCTTGCATCTTTAAAATGTCTCTATAGAAACAAAAAATAAATAAATCAAATAAATTCCCTATTACACAATAAATTCCAGAAATTAAAATAATGCTATCCATGTCTTTCTTTTTTGCAGGTCTGTTTCTTGCAGTTTTTAAATGTCTTCATAGAAAAAAAAATCTCACCGTCTATTCCATTTTATGCTGCTGTAAGACTGCAGTCCAAGTAATTTATAATGAACAGAAATTTATTGGTTCATAGTTCTGGAGGGTGGGAAGTCCAAGATCAAGGGAAGTCCAAGAAAAAATATTTTCTTTCTCTTCAAAAATCAGAGAAAATGACTGATTTAAACATTGGCATTATTTTATTTACTGCTTTATAATGAGGGCCTGATTCTTGCTGAAAATAATGTAAGTATCTAAGTGT